GCCAACAAATCAGATCAGGCTCATTTTTTGTTTGCACACTCGTGAATATATGCGTAACATAACCTGAGGGTACCGAACTTGTACTTCGAATTTTTCAGGTCAAGGCCATCTCATCCCAGGTCACGAAAGCTTTATATCGTGCATCGGTGACGTGAGACATGTTTTATGGTTCATGTAGGCCATATATATCGAAATCAGTGTTGTATGTGTCAGTTTAGGCCATTTTAGCTGAATATAGCTGAGGTCAGGTCAGGTCACTTTAGGTCAAAAATGGTCAAATTTTGAAGTTGACATTTTTCAACAAAAAAGGTGTTTGTCAGATGAAGTTCACATATATTCAACGCATATGTGTTCAAACACATATAGACCCCGTTTCCATGGGCATCACTGATCCGGATCAGCAAACTTAAATCGTATTATATTTCTCGAACTCTTCGTTACATGATATAATTCCAAGTGGATTAGGCTTATATAATCAGTTAATCCCTTATTTTCATTTTCATATATTGTCTAACTATACTGGATTAGCTAATCCATTTTTACTGATCCGGATCAGTGATGCCCATGGAAACGTGGTCATATTCTGCTTTTTTTCATTCAGAAACGTATATGTAAAAAAATAAAAAATACAATTTCTGAGTTTTTATATTTATAATTTTCAAAATATTCAACATTTCGAAAGTCCGAAATCAGTTTGGTAGCCCTGTAGAGTCCACCCATGCAAAAAAAAGGATCTAGCTTAACCCTCAAGGCGGTGGGGGGGGGGGGGGCATTTTTTGCATCCATCTTTAGTTTTTTTTCGATATATCTCCAGAACCGCTGCGCCGATCTTCACCAAACTTTCAGTACCCTTTTGCACATTGTGACCAAATTTTTTTTCCAAAGGCTATGATAAGTTGGCCGCTACGTCGGAGTGACGTCATTTCTGCCATTGTCGACCAAAAAAAAAGCTTCGCGGGAAGAGCTGTCAGGTCTATAAATTTGATTATGCATAAAAATGTTCAAGACATGAAATGTGTAGAATTACCAGGGCTACTATACTGTTCTCTCGATTTTGTTTTTGAAGTTGACCCCAAAAATAAAAAGAAATAGATATAATAGCCAAAAAATCACAAAAGTTTTTCGATTTTCGAAACAAACGGAATATATGTAATAGCCACTATGGACTTCTATTCACATTCCAAGTATTAGATCGATAACTCCTTTTTGCCAAGTTATAACAAAAAAAACTGTTCAAAATTAATGACGTCAAATTTTCAAACTCGATTTTGGCAATTCTAGACCACAAAGCGCAAAACAAAGACCACCATTAGACTCGCCGTGACGAGTGGCATCGAATCAATACCAATTTTATGCGAAACTATCAACTTTGACCTGAAATTTGACCTTTTTGACCTGACATTGACCTGACCTCCACCAGAAAGTGACCAAAAAAACCGTCCCTGATGGTCTTATAACCAACACCATTGAGGCGAATATGAAAAATTGGCCATAAAACATGCATCGCACAACCCTACTTAGTAAAGATAGGTTCATGTGCTGACCCTTGGTGATCGGACCTGGTATTATCAGTGACCTCCAATAGCAACATATGCTCGTATAATAGGCAACTCACGCCCTATCGCTGATTTTTGACAAAATGCCCTTTACTCGATGTTGCAGCGCATTCCTTAAAAGACCCGTGAACGGTGAAACATTTTATCTTTGACTTGGCCTGTGATGTCATCGGTGACCCCGAGGTCAATGAAATTGAAGTTCCCTCGACAAATTTAACAAGGCTATCGAACGCCATTTAAATTTTAACGATCCGTCATAGTAGCTTCGGAGATTCGGGGGGGGGGGGGTCAAAAATCCCCCCCCCCTCCCACCGCGCGGAAGGTAGCCGGGAGGCCCACCGCTTGCCGGGTTAAAACTCAGATCTTGAGAGCGATTACCGTTGTTCAATGCTTTGCATCAAAATCGGCCGAACATGATGTCACTCTGGCGTCATTTCCGGCCGATCTATAGTAGCTACGAAAATTTTATTAGTGCACAAGGTGTCAAATAAATTGATGCAGCCGAAGGTCCTAAAAGCTTTGTTTTGATACGTCCAGCGGTTTTAAAGATATTGCGTAAACACGAGAGGGGCTATGAATAGCCCTCCCCACAGTAGGGTGGGGGTTAACCCTCGCCCGTATTGGTGTTTTTCCAGCCACGAACGTTTAAGGGGGGGTCCGTTGAACCCCCTCCTTGCCGTTTCGCCCCTGATTGAGCTAGAGCTTCGCGGAAAAAACGAGCGTGCTGCCCGTGACGAGAGAAAGCCGATGGTACCCAATTTTATCCTAGGTCGTCGGTCCTAGGTCATCGGTTGACCTTCCAGGTCAGGTCAATGACCCAAAAGTGGGGAAAACTGGGACCTGTTAGAACGTCGTAAAACGTGGCTGCTATTGGGTTTTTTAGGGAACTGATCACGAATATCATGTTAGCTATGATCATAGATGATGTCTTCATGCATTTAGGCCAGGTCGGGTCAGGTCAGGTCAGGTCAACCAGTAAGGGTTTTGCCGGGTATTCGTAGTAGGTGCACTAGGTGGCAACCGCCTCTGACAGCTTCGTAACATGTTACGAAGGCACCAAAACTACTTCGTAAATGTTCATATATGGTTGTTAAATTCGAAATCAGCTAAAAAAACTAGCCTAGAAAGATGCTGATAAAACTCGAAAAAGTAAACCGAGGTCATCAAAGGTCAATGAACTGACCTGACCTTCTGGTGACCTTGACATCCACCCTAATGCATGGGAGCAGCATCATATCCCATGTTTGAACGCTTGAAACCACGAAAGGACTGCAAACGCGCGGCAAATGCGAGCCGACATACGCCGAATCGCGATTCCGGCCAAACATGGTCTCGAAAAGTAGGTCACAGGTCAAAGGTCATTAGTCAGGGCCATTACATTTTTTAGGGTAGGTGTAAAATTGATTATAACTCGAGGGTACTGAAAGCTTCGTTGCGGTCGGCCGCTTTTTACGCGAGGTATTCGCGAAAAACCGAGGGGGAGTCCGTTCGACCCCCCCCCCTATACGGGGGAGGGTTAACAAGCCAAAACGTTGCTAATTTTTATTTTGATCTGACCTGTGACGTCAACGGTGATCTCGAGGTCAATAAAATTAGGTTTTGCTCGACAGTTTTTCCAGGGCTATCAGACGCCGTTTCAGTTTTGACAATCGGCCCAGTAGTTTCGGAGTTGGAGCGGGGGGGGGGGTTCTATAAATAGCCCCCGCCTCCCCCAGTGGAGTGCGTTACAGAACATACCCCAGTGGGGCGCTGGTTAAGAGTAGAATTTTTGAATTATTGCCAACACTCAACACTGCACCTCATGGCAATTAATTCATTATAGGGCATTTTACCTGAACCAGCCTCTGGCCTAATGTCCCAAATTTGCTAAATTCCTCACCCTACAAATCCCCTGTTCTATTAGATGCTGCCATTTTTTTAAAACAACTTATCTTAAATCCTTGTTTCATCAAACTGGGAGCTAGGTCACGGGACACTGCGAGTCAAGGTGGGAGGGGTAGGAGATAGAGTGTCACTGCAGCACACACAATCAATCTTTCCATTGGTTTATCTTATATCAATGCCTGCTCTTTTCCAGAGCTGGCTTTCGAAGTTCGAACCTTCGGTATATGGCTACCAATGCCCTTGGAGAAGGTGTTGCGTGATAAATCGCTGGAAGGGCGACATTCAACGATTGTGTGAAAAGAGACCGATTGCATTGTGATGATAAAGTGAACTGTAATAATTGTTGTTCATGCGCGTTGTTTGGTTATGTGCAGACGTAACTTTGTTTGTGGCCAAATGCTTTTTATGTGTGAAATATTTCATGTAGGTTACTAGGTAGATGCTTTGGAAAAGTGAAGAGCTGCTTTGTCGACTGCTAGGTAGATACTGTCATGCATGCTGTTGTGCATCAGTAAGTGGCTGTCGTAATGATAAACAAATTTGGCATGGAGGCTAAAGCACAGCATATGAAGCATGCTGGTTGATGACTAGTAAGATCCTGTTAACCGACTGGTAATATCACAATAAATGTCACATAGTAAACTATTGTTTTACGATGGTTGGCCAGCAAAGCAAAGCTGGTATCCAGATGACAAAAGGATGGTTTTACCATGATAAGTCATTAGTAAGCATTACCAGGGAGTAGCTAACGATAGTAAAGTCCTAGTTTCGTGCTAGTATCACGTGGGTTTTTGGGCATGGTATGACGACATATAGTTACCGTGTTAATACCATGGTAATTTTTACTGGCATTGGTATTCACATGGTTTTACATTCATATTAGGCCTAGTATTTGGGTCGTAAGTTAGTTTACCATAGGTAAGAGGCTGTTCAAAATATGACCACCACTCGAAAACTAACTAGGGTGGTATTTTTCTTAGTAGGCGGTACCAGGATAATACTAGCGTTAGTAGAGCTTTGGTTTCTTATTAGTTATGCTTTAGTTTCAAGGTAGTATGATGAAAAAATATTACCGTACTAAGACCATGGTATTTTGATGAGCATTGGTAGTTGCATAGTATTCCTTTGATATTGGGCCTAGTATTTGGATCGTAAACTGGTTTACCATAAGTAAAAGGCTGTTCAAAATATGACCACCACCCAAAAACTAACTAGGGTGGTATTTTTTTCTTTCAGTGTATAATATGAAAAGGGCATGATCGTAAAAACAGCAAAACGCAATTCAATCTATGCAAACAAGCCTAACTGTTACATCGTGGTCTCGTGACAGACTGGCAGTTCTGGCTGACGCTGTATTCTTCTCAGCGATCAAACGTAAACACTGAACAGTACATCTAAGTACTTCCGACCTTGGCCGGGGCCGTGCACCGACTCATGTAAACAACACCACAAACAGCTGACTGCCCGTAATGCTGGTCACACTAAAACGCTGCCAGTTACGGATAACGATACGACACTCTGCCCCCCTTGAGCAGCTAGGCTGATCAATGACACATCATTTCACATTTCCTCGATGAGGCGCTTGGGCGGCATCGGTCGCCGCTCAGACCGCCGTCTGCCCCCCGTCTCATCTTGCGCCCCGCCCCCGCCGCTCGCCTGCTCCGGCTCGTCGGCACTGCCATCCTGGGCAGTTCCGGGGACGGCTCCCGCTTCTCCGCGCTCGTCCGGCCTACCGCCGCCGCCTCTCGCCGCGTGTCTCGCTTCCTCTCCTGCTCCTCCTTCGGCGACTGCTGCGCTCCGGTGCCAACGGGCGTCCGCTGCGCTCCGGTCCCAGCGGGCGTCCGCCGCGCTCCCGTTTGCCGCTCGGCTCCCGTCCGGTGCCTCCGTTCCGGTCGTTCCCGCCGGTCCGGTCGGTCCAGCCGCCAGCAGCTGGTCTGCGTGCCGCGACCACAGCGCGCTCCCGACGTCAATCTCGTAGGAGACGGGGCCTGTCTGCGCCGCTACCGCGCCTCGCTTCCACTTGTGTGGTCCGCCGTAGTTCCGCGCCCACACCGCGTCGCCGACGTTGAATTTTCTCGGCTGTCCGCCGGCTGCCGACCACTGGCGCTGCTGCTGGTCTCTGCTCCGCTCCTCCGGGTCTCGCCGCAGCAGGTCCAGGCGTGTCCGGACATTCCGTCCCAGCAGCATCTCGGCCGGCGACCGTCCGGTCACGGCGTGCGGCGCCGCACGGTAGGCCAACAGGAACTTCTGTAGCCTCCGAGACAGCGGGCCCCCGTCTCGCAGCGCCGCCTTCAGGCCGTTCTTTGCCGTCTGAACGGCCCGCTCAGCCGCTCCATTACTACTCGGGTGGTACGGTGCAACACGCACCTGCCGCACCCCGTTCAGCGCCAGGAACTGCACGAACTGGGCCGCTGTGAACTGCGGTCCGTTGTCAGACACCACCTGCCGTGGGATGCCGAACCGCGCGAACATCGCTCGCAGCTCGTTGATCGTTGCCTCACTGCCCGTGTCACGCATTGGAACCGCCTCGAGCCACTTAGTGTAACTGTCATACACTATCAGGTACATATTTCCATGGAACGGGCCGACGTAATCGATGTGAATGCGCTCCCAGGGCCCTCCCGCCGGCTCCCAGGGGTGCAGCTCACTGCGGGGCGGCGCGCTGCGCTTCTCCGCGCAGCTGACGCAGTCGCGCGCCAGCCCCTCCAGTTCCGCGTCCAGACCCGGCCACCACACATACCGGCGCGCCAGGTTTTTCATTTTCGAGCTGCCGAGGTGCCCCTCGTGCAGCTCCCGCATCACTGCCGCCTGCAGCCGCCGCGGCACCACCACGCGACCGCCCCACACGAGGCACTCTCCGTCGGTGGTGAGCTCTTCCCGGCGGCGCCTGAACGGCTCCAGCTCCGGCTCCACGGTCGCGGGCCAGCCGCCGCGCACGAACGCCAGCACCTTCGCCAGCACCAGATCCCGTCTTGATGCTGCCGCCAGCTCTCTCGCTGTCAGCGCCGGCGCCACGCCGTCCAGGAACATCAGGTAGCTGCCGGTCACCGCATCCGCCTCGATCTCCTTCAGCTCCGTGCCTGAGCACGGCACTGCCAGCCGTGACAGGCTGTCGGCCACGTGCATCTGCTCCGAGCGCCGCAGCTCCACGTTGTACGAGTACGCGGCCAGCTGCAGCGCGTACCGCTGCAGGCGGGCCGCCGCCAGGCTCGGTAGGTCCCTGTCGGGGCTCAGGATCCGCGAGAGGGCGCGGTTGTCAACCACCAGCGTGAAACGCCGTCCGTAGATGAAGCGATGAAATCTGCTCACGCCATACGACACGGCTGCCGCCTCTCGCTCGACCTGAGCGTACTTCCTCTCGGTTGCTGTCAGTGTCCGTGACGCGTACATCACGGGTCTCTCTGCTCCGTTCGGTGTCACGTGCACCAACGCCGCTCCGACGCCGACACTGCTGGCATCGGTCACCAATTTCAGCGGCAGGTCCGGATCGTACCGCATAAGCACCGGCGGGCTCGTCAGCATCTGCTTGACCTTGTTGACCGCCTCGGCGCACTTCTGTGACCATTCCCATGGCACGCCCTTCTTCGTCAGCCGGTACAGCGGCGCCAGCACCGTGGACAGGTCCGGCAGCAGGCGTCCGAAGTAGGTGATTGAGCCGAGCAGTGACCTCAGCTGGCTCACATCCTTCGGCTCCGGCGCCTGCAGCACCGCCGCTACGCCGCCATCAGTCGGGGCGATGCCGTCCGCAGTCACTTTCCATCCCAGGAACTCGACCTCCGACACCGCCAGCTGACATTTCTGCGCCGCCAGCCGCAGCCCCTGTCGCTCCAGCCTTCCCAGGACTTCATCCAGACGCTGTAGAAGCTGCTGTTCGTCCTCCCCGAACACCAACAGGTCGTCCAGGTAGCACCTGCACCCGTCTTGTCCCTCCAGGACCCGGTCCATTGCCTCCTGAAACAGCGCGCCGGAACTGGCCACTCCAAACGGCAGCCGCCGCATGACGAACTCGCCCTTGTGCGTGCTGACGGTCGTCATCGGCTGCGACTCCTCGTCCAGCGGCATCTGCTGATACGCGTGCTTGAGGTCCAGCTTGCAGAAGAGCTTGCCGCTCACTCCCGCGAACACGTCTTCTGGCTTCGGCAGTGGATGGTTTTTCACTATCAGCTGCGGGTTTACCGTGAGGTTGTAGCTCGCACAGAGCCTCACGCCGCCTCCCGGCTTCGGCACCGGCACCAGTGGTGTGCCCCAGCCGGAGCTCGTCTCCGACGGATCCACTTTCCTGGCGATGCCGTCTCTGACCCACCGGTCCAGCTCAGCCTCCACCTGCGGCAGCAGCGCGTACGGCACCGGGCGCGGTGGCAGCCGCCGCGGCACAGCGCCCGGCTTCAGCGTCAGGTGCGCCTGGTGACTCATGACACCGAGCCCGTCCGCGAACACCTGCGCGTGCGCCGCCTTCACCGACTCCAGCGTCCGCCGGCCGCTTGCCCCGCCGACCTCGCTGACCTGGAACAGTGACCGCCAGTCCAGCCGGATCACCTGCAGCCAGTCCCGCCCCAGCAGCGGGCGGTGTCCCAGCTGGCTGCTCACCACCACGTCCAGTCGCCTCCGCTGGCCGCCGTACAGCACATCCACCGTGGCCTCGCCGCGCACGGGCACCGGCTGCCCTGTGAATGACCGGAGCTGCATCACGGACGGTCTCACCTCCAGTCCCGGGATGCTGCCGACCGCCACGATCGACACCGGGGACCCCGTGTCCACCAGCATCTCCATCTGCCTGCCGTTGACGGACACCGTGACCAGCGGCAGACGGTCCCGGCGCCGTGTGGCTGTCTGGTCCACCGCCATCACGATTTCTTCCACGGATGCCACCTGTCCGCGCTGAGGACAGTCCCGCTTCAGGTGTCCCGTGTCGCCGCACTTGAAGCAGCGCCTGCCGCCGCTCCTGCCACCGGGCGGGCTGCCGCGTCCGGTGTCGACCCGCCGACCGCCGTCCGGCCGTCCGGACGCTCGGGAGCCGCCCGGCTCCGGTCCCGCTCTTGCCGCGGCGCCGTCGCCGTAACGGTAGCTGCCTCGGCCACCGTCTCTCCCGCCGCCGCCGTCGGCCGACCTGCCCGGCCGGGCTCCGTCCGGCTCTGAGCCCGTCCGGCCCGTCGGGCAGTCCCGCCGCCAGTGCCCCCGGCCGCCGCAGCGGAAACACGTGCCCGGGGGCACGGCTGACCGGCCGGCCTCGGGCCGCTGCGGGCGTCGCAGCGCCTGGACTGTGTCCTCACCCGCCGCCGCCGGCTCCGGCGCCCCCGCCAACTGAGCTGCAAGATCCTTGACGTCTCGGAACGCACGCGCCGTCCTCCGGACGTCCTCCAGGGTGAGGCCAGCTCCCTTCACCGCCGCCTCACGCACCAGCTTCTGCTGTAGCTCTCCGCGGCTGGCCAGCACGCAGCGGTCGCGCAATTCTCGCTCCACCTCCGCTGCCGTGTACCCGCAGCGCTGCACCTGTGCGCGGAGACGACCAAGGAACACCTCCAGGTCTTCATTTTCTTCCATTGCCATCGCTTGGAATTTGCCGCGCTCCGCAACGACGTTTCTTGTGGGTACGAGGTATTTCGTCAGTTTCGTTTTCAGTCGAACGAAGTCGTCGTCCGCCGCCTGGCCGTCCGGCTCCTCCGGCAGCGAGTCGGAGAGGTCCGCGATATCGGGACCAACCAGGTGTAAGAGTAGAGCGCACTTTCGGGCCGTGCTCTCGACCCCCATCGCCACCATATACCGCTCATGTGACCTGAGCCATCTCTCAAAATCACTGCCCTGTCGGTATGGTGCCACCGCCATCGCCTGCAGTCCCGCTCCCCGCTCCATGACGTCGTCGGACCCGAACAGCTGATCGCCGCTGTAGAGCCGGGCCGCCGCCCCCTCGCTGCACCCGCGCCGCACCCGACCAGCTGATCACCGCCGCGGCACCTGGACCAGGCCCCCCAAACCGAGTTGGCTTCCCGCGCCGGCCCCCGCCGGCCAGCCAATCACGGGGCTCGACACAGCCAGCCGACCTGAGCCGACCAATCACAGGCCGCCGCCGCCGGCCGCCGCTTCCGCGTTCACGTCCCTGCGCGGCATTCGCTGCACCAACAATAACAAAACGGCCAATATTTCGAGAAACATCACCAAACAGTATACCCGACAAGCAGCATCAATAAAAAAAATCACACACCAACAAAACAAAGAAACTTTTCTAACCCTGCGCCGACCACCGCCCAGTTTTTACACCGCCGTAATGGCTGTCACCGCCCAGCGCCGCCAAAACTCTGGGCCACCGCCCGGCGACCACCGCAACAGGCAACCGGTCTGTTCCGCCGCGACTGACACGCCCCGGTCATCGGCTACACACGTGCGCACTTTAGTGTCCACTCCAGACCCTGCGCCGTCCTCGAGCTACCACTCGGACCGCGAACTTCACTGGCGTCTGTCCTGTCGGCGCCATCTTTTTGGCCTCTTCCGGCCGCCTCACGATTACCACGACTTAAAGCAAATGAATCTCATCTTCGTCGCCACGTTGTTACATCGTGGTCTCGTGACAGACTGGCAGTTCTGGCTGACGCTGTATTCTTCTCAGCGATCAAACGTAAACACTGAACAGTACATCTAAGTACTTCCGACCTTGGCCGGGGCCGTGCACCGACTCATGTAAACAACACCACAAACAGCTGACTGCCCGTAATGCTGGTCACACTAAAACGCTGCCAGTTACGGATAACGATACGACACTAACCTAACCAACCAATCATGACCTAGTCATTTTTGACCATGTTTCATTGGACCATAGATTAGGTACTCTTTTTATACTGGCTTTAAACACGCCAACGCCCACCCTTCACTCGTGTTACCCTCGTGTCACCAGCTCATTCGGTATAGGGTAACTGTGGGGAAAACGCACCCCTGGGTTAAACGCCTCCCCTAAAAAATCGTATTTCTTATCGACGGATAGGTGTTTTATCCTGTCTTTCAGAACAGTCAGCTGCTTGTTTACGTAGGTCTCTATTTCCGGTTCTGAGTCTTTAGGAGCAGCGTGGGTAGGTGCTGATGTTGGTTTTGGATGTTGTTTTTGCTGTTTTTGCAGAAGATTCCTAATATTTTGATGCCCTCTTTATATCACAAACCTTGCAATTGTGCACATCACTCAAAACTGCGTTTTATTGTCATTCTGTTGAATATATTATGCTGCGGCGTTAGTGGCGCGTTTTTTGTCAATATTTTGTTGACCGGAAATGGAGTGGATGGGGCAAGACGCCTACTCGATGCATGGGGCAAGACGCCCCCAGTTTTCTGAAAGGGGGGCGTTTTGCACGGTGGTGAGAGTGCAGGGTAGCGCCTTGTAGGTCGGGGCCGAAAAGGCCTCTCCCTGTCCTTTTTTGCTGATATATCCTAAACGACTGCAGATATCGTCACCAAACTTTCAGGACTCCTCTGGGCATCCATTTTACACATTGCAACAAAATTTTATTCCAAAGGCTATGATAGGTTGACCACAAATGACGTCAGAACGACGTCAAGTTCTGCCATGTTCATCATTTTCTGTTGATAGATGAGGTGGGGGCGCTTTGCACATGGGTGTGGGCGTATTACCCAGGGTATGGGGCAAAACGCCCTTTTGCAAGGGTATGCGAAAACCTTTTTGGGTGGTTAAATACCACACACAGGTGACTTTTCTTGGTCTCAAAACGTAGTAAAAAGAATGAGCTACATGATGATGCCCAAAGGTTTAAGTAATCTGTGTTGGGTTGAGTGTCAGAAGGTTTCGCGCTTAAGGGGGGCGTTTTTGACCTATTCACCCTACTACCTATAGGCAATCGGCATGGCACTGAACATCGGCTAGCCTTCGCCTATAAGAAGAGCCAGGGGGACTAAAGATAATTCTTCGCCTAGTCTTTGGCCATTTTGGTTATACCCGCCAGTTTTTTTCAACGTAAAGAAAATTAATTGCTTTGGGCAGCGACGTTAAACTTTGTACGGCTTATGATGCCTTAATTTCGCAGCGTATGTGAAATTTTGACCCCAGGTCACGTAAGGTCAGGTCACCAGGTTCTTTAGCCAGTCTAAGTTCTTTACCTTTGATGACCTCGCTTCACTTTTTTGAGTTTTACACGCTTTTAGACTAGTTTTTGGAGCTGATTTCGAATTTAGCAACCATTTGAACAATTACGAAGAAGTTTTGGTGCCTTCGCAACATGTTACGAAGCTGTCAGAGGTGGTTGCCACCTACTACGAATACCCGGCAAAACCATTACTGGTTGATCTGACCTGAGCTGACCCGACCTGGCCTAAATGCAGTGGAGACATTATCTATGATCATAACTAACATGATATTCGTGATCAGCACCTCGAAAAAACCATAACAGCCACCCTTTACGACGTTCTAACAGGTCCCGATTTCCCCGACTTTTGGGTCATTGACCTGACCTGGAAGGTCAACTGATGACTAAGGATCTTGAAATTGGGTATCATCGTTTTCCTCTCGTCACGGGCAACACGGTCGTTTGTTTCGCGAAGCTCTAGCTCGATCAGGGGCGAAACGGCAAGGGGGTCCAACGGATCCCCCCCCCCCTATACGTTCGAGACTGGAAAAACACCAATACGGGCGAGGGTTAACATTAGTGTGCTACCCCTTCACATTGATCCACCAGACAGTGATAAACATACTTATCCGTGTTGGGCGTTTCATTGAGTTTGTGTGTTTGTGGGGGGGGGGGGGGGGGGCAAACACGATCTGGATCGCTGGCCAGCTGCCATTTTACAATTTGCTACTCGGCGCTTTCTGGGCCCTGTTTCACGGCACGCCGCTTCACTTCGCTTCAGCGCGCTTCACTGAAGCGGTGAGGTAAACGGAACCTCCGATGCTAAGGTATGACCTCATCACAAAACGCTAGCGTGCTGTATTATATTGCTTGCAGTATTGCTCCGCATTGATATATGTCGCGGAATACAAACATCTAATGTAGCCGCCATATTTTTGATTTCAATGCGAAACAATACTGCAAGCAATATAATACAGCGCGCTGGCGTTTAGTGATGACGTCTTACCTTAGCATCGGAGGTTCCGTTTAACTCGCCGCTTCAGTGAAGCGCGCTGAAGCGGAGAGAAGCGGCGTGCCGTGAAACAGAGCCCAGCGCTGAAAATCACAAAACTCTGTCTTTCCCCGTAGCAATGAACACTGAACAGTCATTGAACAAAGTATTTAATGTTTTTCATTAAATCCATGTAGGGGAAAGTGGGGTAAGACGGTCAGGGTAGGTAAGGCGGGCACCCCTTCTGCAGACCAAACCAATAGCGCTACGAGCGAAAAAATAAATTAGGACCAGAATTGCCTTTCCCACTACGCACCACCATTGAAGTCTGGTGAATTTGTGTTCAGTCAATAATATTTTATTTTGATATCTTTAAAAACCGAATTTCATTGAAAACATCCATAATGTATTGTGCAAGCTTTTGTGTGCACCACTATAGAGTTAATAACTCGCAATCACTTGTGGTACACACATATGCCACCAGTGTTCATTTACCGCGGATTTGCTTTGCCTGCATCAAATTGTCCACAGAGAAAAATCGTGCTGAACCTTTGACATTGAGTTTGGGGTAAGACGGGCAACTATGGATCCTATGGGTCTGTAATGGTGAAAATATTTTTGTTGCTGTAGGAAAAAAGAAGCATTTCTGTTAAGAATATGTTCGATTTCGATACTCACAGACATGTTAGCAATATTCCTTCGGCACAGTTTATTCTCGAATAATGAATGTGAACAACGGCTCTACAAGGTTTCTGAACTAGGGCCTATATACAAGCATACCTACGCCTTCTGCACGAATCTCGTATACCTACTGCCTTTTCCGAAGCACTTGAGACCAACGAGCGACTTTATCAATGCGGCTAATCTCGGGCATTTGTTGCGAGCTGCGCTGGTCGGTGAGAGAAGCTGGCTGTCTTGCCCTACCCATGTGACCGTCTTACCCCGTGGGGTGGGGTAAGACGGGTTTTTGCAAGGTCTTGCAAAAATAGTTATAGTTTTTTTTTGTTGAATCAGCTCTAAGTCTTATCTTCTGGCAAATGGAAGTAAAATGTCTAAAAAAGGTTTTCACTCAGTTTCCCGTTTCTATGATGTTTCTAACCGGCCGAAAAATGGCTCCAAAGTTAACGTGCCCATCTTACCCCACCTTCCCCTAAGATTCCTAACAAAAACGTATTGCGGAGAAGGTAATTAATTTTGTGAGAAGTTCACGTTTTGACTGGGGGGGGGGCAAATGTTGGCCACTGGGGGGCAATCCGCTCCACTGGGGGGGGGGGGGCAATTGCCCCCCCCCCCCAGTTAACATGTTAGACGAGGCCCTGGCAGAGTCACTTCAAAAGTCAATTTGCCCTCTGGAGTCTGGAGGCTAAACAGTTGACATTAGGTCAAATCTGAGAGCATTATTCAGATAGAGCTTTGAATGGGCTATCGAATGTGTTTTCTGCGGCGCTGTAACTATTTATTCCCTAGCTATGTGCCGATTTGTGAAAATTTGTCAAATGGAGAAGAATTTTCGTGATATTTTTTTTTTGTAACTGCCAGTGACCTCAACGATGACGCGATCAGAAAGTGGCCAAAGTGATTCCGAAAGATCTTATTGGGAGCTATCTTTCTTTTATTTTAAAGTGAGCGTGTCTTTCTAGCTTTCTTAGTTTTTTAGGTGGCCCACGGTGTGGCCAAATACCTCTCCCCTCCCATCCACCCATCCCGCACCTACCAAGGTGAAGCTGGCTGAGACCCACACCCCGGCGTGGGTTAAAATTAATATTTATACGTACAACGCCATTCACCAAGCTGCGTCCATTCAGGTGAAAGGCACCTTTTCCCTCTCAGTTTTAGGTGCCAGCCGACCATGTTGGGGTGGAAGATACCCCACCGGCCACCGTCCGTAGTGCGATTCCGTGTCTTTATTTACCGCTGGCTCGTAGAAAAACAAATGTTATACTCTTCTGATTATTATTCATTAATAAGCAAACAACGAAATGTGCTCGTGATCTGCACAAACACGCGACCGAACAATTCCCTTATGCCGACCAGAATCGTGTCGATTTAGAAGATACTTTTATCTAAATAAATGTTGCGCTTTGAACCTAACTATGCATCATGTTCACACGCTTCGCCTTGCCGGTACACCCTCCCACCCAACTCCCCTCATCAACACGACCTAGCTGGCCGACTAATGACTATACATCCACGTGGTTTGACCGGTCAATGCAATGCGGTGACACGATTGCGACCCGGAGGCACGCCTCCGTCCTCCCCCCCCCCTCTAGACGCACACTGAGCCGCTGCCAGCGGCGCGGCGGCTCTGCTCAGCAGCTGGCTACTGGCTAGCTCGCGAGACCAGCGAAAGTGCGGGGAACTTAATCCTATTAGTAGCATAAAGCTTTTCAGGTTTTACAAGTTAATCACACTGACCAATTCACAGCTACAAATTATACACATCTTCAAACAATCATCCCATAACAAACAGAACGTGATCACAGCACAGCTCCTGGCAGTGTCGTCGCGCCAGGTGCGACGCTGCTGTTGTCTCCCTGCAGCACTCTGTTGTCTCCCTGCAGCACTGCCTCTACCAAAGATGTTGAAGCTTCACGTCCCCACGGCATGCGCTACTTCAGGATGGTGGGAGGCGGAGCGATCGCCCGCTCGCCTGGCGGTGCCAGCTTCTCACCCCATTCTCCATTAGATGGCAGAAAGAAGTTTTCCTCCCACATCCGATCTACATCTCGGTCGATCTTTTTCCACTTTTGCATCCTCGCTGTCAAGCCCGCACCTTCGAAGGCCATCAGTAGAAGATTGGGCTGCAGCAGCAGCTCGGCCCGACCCCGCGGCGTGTCCGGCTTGGCGGTCAGGCCGGCAGGGCGCTGTTCCGGTGGTAGCAGCAGCTGCTGACAGCACCAGCCGGTTACGGAGGCTGTGTCACCCAGGAGGTACTCCATGTCGGAGTCGGTCAGCAGCTCTGTTAGTGGCGTCACGTCCAGCGTGGAGTCGTTGTCGTCTCGTGGTGTCGCCCGCGCCTCTTTTTTCAGGCAAGCGGGGTCCAGCACGGACCAGGCTTGCAGTAGCAAACACTGTTGAGCATACTTGCCAGAGTCCCTCCAGCACAGCCAACGTAGGTGTTGTGGCGCCTTACTGGCCAGCACAGGGATATAGAACTTTGTCCAGCTCCTCCAGAAGGGAGCGTCATGTCGGCGGGCGATGCCCTCTTCAACAGCCTTGATGACTAGCTCGCGCGCCAGATACTGTCGCAGCTGCTGCTCTGGAAGTGGCTTCCATCGGGTAACCAGATTGGTCCAGCTCAAGCAGCACATCATCATTAGTTTCTGGGCATGTACCTTCATATGATTTACAGTTTTGGTAATGGCCCGCCTTTGGCTCTTCGTGAGATCCACCACGATATTGATGGATTCGTCAAAAAAGCATGGAATCTTGCCTTTGGTCATGTGATCCTCTAGCCATTCAAGCACCGATAAGACGCCCACAGTAACGCTCTGCCACAACTCACAGGAACTCTGTTGTGCCAACCAGAAAACTGCTGTTTTTATGTGGTAAGACTTCAGCTTTTTCTTCTCATCCCCGGACTCAGGCTTCAATGCCATTACCAGCTTTTTCATGTGCTTGCAGGTGACGATGGTGGCGCGTTGAATGGGGCTCAATTTGCCCGTGAAGATCCTCTCCGCATAGAAAAACGACACTCTCCATTCCGTGGCCCGGGTGCGACTGTTCGAGCATCCCGTTGGAACCAGGAGCACGCCGAGCCGCCTGATCTCCTCCAGGTCCTTTTCCTGTAGAAAGGACGCCTCTGCTTGGCGGTTGCGAGTGATGAACTTCTCCAACCGCTTCGTTCCGGGCATACCGATGCACGGAACATGGTCCGTGCCGCCATCGGAGGCGTCCCCTGTCCACCGGACATTCACTGCTGGCCCGCACATGGTGACGGTCTGGTCTTTTGTCGATGTGTCTTGACAGATGTCGTTGAAAAGCTGGCGAACCGAGTCTGCCGGCAGGGCAGTCAGTGCCTCTCTGTGGCTACATTCAGTTGTGCGAACCCAGTGCAACGTCACGAAGCCGGCGTTTTCGGTGGGTTTCGCCCACAGAAGTGGCGCTTGCTGCGGGTCGATTTCGCCTGGTTCTGTTTCCGTTTCTACCCAAGAGAATGGAACATCAAACTCGTACATCACGTCTACGTCAGATGTCCCCCCTTCGCCAATAACCATATCAGTCAATCCTTCGGCACTGCTGCCGGACGTGTGTAAGAATTTCACTTCGAGTGGCTGGCTTGGCCGACAAAGCTCGCAGAACTCAACGCTAATAATCCTGTCACCCTGGAAGGACCTCATCTTTACATTCATCCTTCTATTCGACCAATCGGCTAAGTCATGCATTTCTAAAGCAGTAACGTATGCCTCACGGGCGATGGTGAGGTTACTTAGAAGTTCCTTTGTCAATAAGATCGTGTCTACGAATAAATTGGCACTTGCCCCGCACACTTCGAGAAGCCACTTGACTGGTTGCACCAACCATTTACATGCATATCTCAAAAAGTAATTGATTGCCAGATTCTTTCCAGACTGCTGGTCGCTGCATAAGACGGACAGATCTTGAGTATTTGCACACAACCACAAAAGTCCGTTCGTTATCATGGAACTAGAATTGCACTTATCTTCGCGCTCAGACCGGATCTGATTCTGCTCAAGACATTTGCACAGAACACTCACAACACTTGCCACCTGGTTCCATGGTTGCTGTGATTTGATTTCCAAATCCTGGGCCAGCTTTCTTGTCAGGTAAGCATAATTTTTCGTCATATTCTGGTCTGGTGAGTCCAATGGCCTCTCGATATATTCTTGTATGTTTTTAAAAGTCAACATCGGCACCATTGCTAGACTAAAGTCATTATTCATTTTAGTCTGGTCTACTGTGTTTAACAGTCTCTTGAGATATGGCCGTAGCTTGATCAATGTAAACAAAATCCAGTATAAGGCGTAGGTTTGATTGTCTTCAAAATCGGTATGCTCTGTGCTTTTCTGACCGAAGGGCTGTAGCGCCAAGTCCATGGACGGCCGCTGCTCCATGCTGAGGCTCTTCGTAAGGTTCCTCACTGACGCTGGTGAGTTGATATGCCCACAACGTAGCGCACCATGCTCACATCAGGACGGCTGAGCCCCGACTGGCCGGTGTCTTCAGAAGCCAACGGGTGGCGCCGTGACGCTCGACCTTCCGCTCCGATAACGTGCGGACGGATGTTTGGCGTCGTTGCATATAACCCGAGATATCTCTGACATCCGAACAACAAGTAGAGTTTTGTTGTTAACATCGGACGGCGTATTACCAGTGGAAGAGGTTCTGGCTACCCTGCATATGCAGGTATGTTCTTTTTTTTTACCTCTGGAAATCAGAATGAACAGATCATAGCTGTCAGTCCGAGCTGTGTCCTTTCTGGACGCGGGCTTCTTGGGTTGTGCCATGTGTCGGAATACTGAGAATTTACTCAAGTTGATATTTGAGGCTTTCTTAGCAATGACCTAAGCAAGAAAATAACCACAAATGTTTTGTACATTACTCCTTGAAAACCAGCTTGCGCTTTTCCTATTCCTTTTCCTATTCCTTTCTATTCCTTTTTTATATAATTGGATGTGGCCAAATGCCATCGTGAAGCTAACCGAAACTCTATCGCAAGCCCGCAACAAACTGTTAGAAAAAAAATCAACATGGATTAGTGGAATAGATTCAGTTCTTTATAGGCCTGGTTGGGCCTGAGCACTACCAATAGTCACATTTTAACATGCTCATGGTAGTAACCATAGCTCCCTTGTCCTATCATGTTAAACCATTATAATCCCACCAATAAATATCATGCGATTCCCGTGATAATCGGGTATCATCATAAAAATATGTTGCATGTCCTTTGCGGGTAGCAAAACGTGGGAAACTAATTTAAATTTTCCTATTGAAAAAGGCATATACATAAAAGAAAGAAATTAGAAATATGTAACGAAACCAAGCATGAGTCGTCGCAAATACTTTGCGTCTTATAGGGAAAACATGCTCGCTGTTGCTGGCCCCTTTCACTGACCTCCACTTTGGGTGCAGTAGTCAATGTCTGAGGAAGGGTTTTCGGGCTGGTGGACTGCCAAAATAAAAGTAAAATATATTCGATTTCGGTGCCGCGGTCCTGCATTTCTCTCCCACGGCCTCGGCCGGTTTTGCGGCGATCTAGTCGCACTATACTGCCACCGATGAATCAGCTCAGCATCCGCTCTGGTCCAACGGCACGGCATCTTTCAGAGAGTGATATATGCAAGAACGCGGGCATTGCTGATTCGTGCAGTTGGATTACACCGAGCTTACGACTTTCTAGAGGATTTTCATAGCGGGCTGGCCTGGCTCTGCAGTATGGTTGTGACGTTGTGACAAAAATTACACTGATGTACGGCCCTCCAGGTATTAAGTGGTTGGTTGCCAACATCACAATAATCGATCTGCATTGATGAATACGTCTAATGGCTGTTGAAAACCACTGCCGAAATGTGTGCACGAACCCTCTACTCATTTCTATTGAACCATTTTACAGGAGTGTCTCTGTCATTTAAAGTTATTTCACCAAAAGCACATAGGCTAACCAACCACTCTTTTGCTGGAGGGCCGTACATGCTACTGATACTTGATAGTTAGGGTTACTGTCGAGAGCTCAAAAGCTGAGTGACTGTCAAATGCGTTTGGCTTAACCGCCTGGGTCTGCTTGCTGACCAGGAGGAAAATCATCCTGCTGATCCATGGCGTTTTTTCCCTTCATTTTCATCATATTTATTTTTGAATGGTTCTTATTATGCCTAAGCAGACAATGGCTACTTGGGTAGAAGTAGGTTTCTGATGCGCATTATGAAGTTCTGGACGACACGATGTTTAAAATGTATGATAATGAATATTGGTTGTGTAAAAATTGACCATTTTCTTATATTATTAAAGAAGTTAATTAAAAAAGAAAAAGGTCTAGAATATCGACCCCGTTTTTCGACGGCGCTGAACCACAAAAAGTATGATAATTAAATTAATATTTTGAGCATCAACAAATCTAGACAGGATGCACTGACAACGAGATCAATAAGATCGGATCTTTGATAGCATGCATCCTTCCATAATTCCGTGCTTTAAAAGCATAAATACGTAAGCGTTTAATTCAGACAAGCATTCTTCCATACGTCTAAATTGCTGAATCACTAGTCGGCGCTCCGTATGCTGTGAAAGGGGTAAAAGGCGTGCTCGAGTCCGACCGGGGGCGGACGAGACAAGTGCGCAGAAAAGCCGGCATATCATTCCCCGGCACGACCAGTGCAGCGAACGTGCCGTGACCCGCGGACATGACGTCACGTACCCGCGCTCTCCGAGGCCCACGAACGTCATGATCATGCCGACGCCGATCATGCCGAAGCCCACGTAGAGGATGACGTTGGCCACGGCCGAGCCGCTGCAGGTGCCTGACTGGCCCTTCCGGAGAACGGCCGAGTTGGTGTCCTCCACCTGAGGTCAGCAGGGGTCACCTGAGGTCAGCGGAGGTCACCCGAACTCAGCACAGTAGCGGTCATCTACTCGTGAGGTCAGCAGGGAGCGCCTGAGGTCAGCAGGGTCACCTGAGGTCAGCAGGGGTCACCTGAGGCTTGCAGAGAACATCTAAGGTTAGCAAAGGTCACATGCTTTCGCACACCTGTAGAAGTCAGCCATCTCAACAATCAGAAAATGTTTAGGAATTGTCTTCCTACTAATTAATAAATATCCGTGTTTTTTTGTGATTTAAGACCCCGTCATCAAATTTTTATCACGCGGTTTCAATTCTCACCAGGCCCTGGTTCTCACCTCGTCCCGATTACCACCAGGTCCCACCTGGCAGGGGCGGATCCAGAAAATCTCCAAGGGAGGGGCCATTAGAAACCAGGAGGCCCCCCATAATCCCACCTGTTGGAGGCCCCATCTTCCCACTTGTTGCCCCCCCCCCCAAAAAAAAAAACTGCGTCTATTGAGCTTATCTAGCTGTTCAGGCAACATCTCAACATCTGTGCAGGCTTGGAGGCCCTCTGTGCAGGTTAGGAGGCCCTGTAAAAGTGGTCATCTCTGTGAGTATAAGAGACCTCCAAGTTATGAAAAGCTTTACCAATCTTCTAACAAAGAAGTCTTCTCAGCTAGTCCTCTAAGAAATAACTAAGTGGGTAGGTTAAAAAAAAACTCATCGGATTTCGGCCACTTTATTTTCAGGAGGCCCCCTTTTCAGCTTTTTAACTTTTTAACTTTTTATTTTATTTTTGAAAAAAAATCGGCCAAGGGGGGGGGGGCATGGCCCCCATGCCCCCCCCCCCTTGTATCCGCGCCTGCCACCTGGTTTTGATTATCAATTCTTCTTAGGTTCCGGTTCCCACTCGATTTCGGTTCTCACTCTGTCCCAGCTCTCACCCGGTTCCAGTTGTCACCTGGTCCCAATTCTTATCCCGTCTCGATCCTCCGTTCCCACTCGATCCCGGTTCTCACTCAGTCCCAGTTCTCACTCAGTCCCGGTTCTCACTCAGTCCCGGTTCTCACTCAGTCCCGGTTCTCACCTGGTTTCGGCGGACCCATCGCCGGTGCGCCGCCAGCGCCTGCGTCTTGTACTGGGTGACATCGGTCGTCTCCGGTCGTTCCCACACCAGTTTGCCAGAGGCCTGGCGAGGGAGAGGGAGGGAATTTCATTTACTGATAGGCTACACAAGGGCCCACGGACTGGGCGTTGAAGGGAAACACTTAGTTCAAATTTACGAAGTTAACTTCTCCAGCTCAAAGTTACGAGACAGTAAAGAGAGGAGCTTGATTTTTTACCACTTGTGCGTGTTTGTCAGCATTGCGTTTCAACTGGACAAGTAACACATGCCAGAAACCAAAAGCAATTATGCAGTACCGTAGCGAAGCATGGCGACATTTGACAATTTAGGAAGCAAACAATTTAATGAACTATGTGGTATGAAACTAACAAATGATAATACATCTAAGAAATAAAAATAGACGGGTATTAACTACAAAGGCTGCTGCCTAAAATCACTCAGGAGTATCCAAAGTCCAAACATACAATGCAATACGTCATATACGATACGCAGGATGTAGGTGAGTAGTGCGAATACGAAGTGGCTGCTCAACACATCCTACTGGAGAGCCACATTTCAGATCTACAGGGTAACAAACAAGACAGGAGACTTCATACATAGGTATGTAGATCAATATGGTAGACACTTAGAATTTATCGTATCAAACCTAGCACGTGCAATCAGCAAATCATTTCTTTTACGCTTGTCTATGAACGAAAGTTATCTGGAACGTGTAACAAGTAGCTAGGCGTTCGAAGTGGAAAAGTCAGCCTAGAAATGGAGGTCATCAGAAAATGTTACATTGAAGCGGCCTTGCCGTGAGGTAAGCTTCAATCTGTAGCCTGTTTCTCGAAATTCTCTACAGTCCTCTCAAAATCGTTGCTCTATAAAACGAAGAAAAATTAGGCATGTGTCATAGTTATCGTGTCTGTCTCGATGTACTTAAATATTCATTACCAAATAGCATGTGCGCGCGAGGTTCAAATAATGATACAAAGCAATAAAATCGTTCATGACCTAGTCACATAAGCGCGTGTTCTATTTTTCGTTCAATTGTACCTACTCGCCACATGTTGCGTTGGGCTGCTAGTGTGGGGGTGGCTGCCCCGATGCGCCGCTGGACGGCCACCACTGCTGCCATAGTGATAGATTGTCACCGCTCACCAGGGACTCTCACCACCCGTCACCAGCTGTCACCAACACGTTACCAGCCGTCATCAACCGCCACTGAGCACTAATGATATTGGCGGAGCACCACTGATCGTCATCAACAGTCACAGTGCCGAGAGGAACTGTGACCCTTCAGCATTTTTTACCATCACTTGCCGTTTGCCACTCCTTGTCATGGTCTTTGTGACATATCTAGCTACCGATATTGTTGACCAATTTTTTCATCACCAAATTCACTACCAACCGTCGTGCGTCACTGTCACACCGCTTTGACACCAGCATCTGGCGCCATATTGAATACGTCACCAAACGGCACCATTTGGCCCATAGTGTCCTAATCCACCACCTTTTGCCAACCTCTATCCGTCTGACGGTCCT